GTGACTATTCATTTCTTTATCAGCCCTTTATCTGATGGTATTAATACTCATTGATGATCCTCATCCAAGTTATTTAATTAGGAGTTGCAACATTGTTTTTGTAATTTGCCATTCTTTCTGCATTTATTGGCTAAAGCTCTTCTGTAAAGAGGAGCTTTCCCTTAATAACTGGGGCTTTTTGGTTACCCTAAATGTTAGAAAAGCAGGAGACTTGTTTACTTTTTTTGCTTTAATTACTAATAGTCACTTCCAGGAGTGGCAGATGAGTTTTGCATGTGTTTTATCTTTTTAATTTATGTTTTTGAGACAGGGTCTCTGTCACCCAGGCTGGAGTGCAGTGGTGCAATTTCAGCTCCCTGCAACCTCCACCTCCCAGGCTCAAGCAATTCTCCCACCTCAGCCATCCAAGTAGCTGGGACTACAGGCGTGTGCCGCCACCACGCCCAGCTGTTTTTTGTATTTTTAATAGAAACAGGGTCTCACCAGGTTGTCCAGGCTAGTCTTGAACTCCAGAGCTCAAGCAGTCCACCCACCTCAGCCTCCCATAGTGTTAGGATTACTGGTGTGAGCCACCACTCCTGCCCTGCATATATTTTAAAATTAGCCGATTTATTGCAGGTTTTTTTGTATATATACTAATGAATGAAATTTGCCTTTGATTTTCTTGTACTGTCCATGTTCGTTGGTCATCATGAACAACTATGGTTCTAAAATAAATTGGTCAGTTTTCCCTTTTGCTATTTTGTAGAATAATTTATAAAAGATGCCTGTTTATTAAAAGCTTGATAGAGTTCAATTGTAAAACTGCCTTGGATTATGACTTTTTTCTACCGAGAGTAGAAAGTAGAGGTTATTTGTCATTGAGAGAGAGAGAGAGAGAGAGAGAGAGAGAGAGAGAGAGAGAGAGAGAGAGAGAGAGAGAGAGTGTGTGTGTGTGTGTGTGTGTGTGTGTGTGTGTGTTTGGTGGGGGAGGGAGGACTTAGAGACAGGATCTCAGTCTGTGGGCCAGGCTGGTGCAGTGGTATGATCTCAGCTAACTGTAGCCTGAAACTCCTGGGCTCAAGCAATCCTCCGGCCTCAGCCTCCTGAGTAGCTGGGACTACAAACATGCACCACCATGCCCAGCTAATTTTATTTTTTTTAGAGACAGAGTCTCATTATGCTGCCCAGGCTTATCTCGAATTACTAGAATCAAGCAAACCTTTTGCCTCAGTCCCCCAAAGTGCTTAGAGGCATGACACACCACACCCAGGCTAAAATTTTATTTTCATTTATTAATTTATCTTTTGAATGTAATGCTCTGAATTACATTGAAAAGGAGAATAAAGGAAATGAAACACTTAAGAGAGATTAGTGGAGGATATTTAAACTTTTATTGTTAGGATATTTAAACTTTATGAAGAGAAGGAGCAAAGGACAGGGAGAAATGAATATTTCAGGGAGTTTAGGTTTAAAGCAACATCTCTCAGACAAAAAGAGTAAGGTTTGAAAAATAGGTAGTTATTTAAAGTTTAATATTCCAGGCTAAGAACACTTGTGTCCAGGAGGGGACATTATTGTAACGTGGGCTGTGGTTAAGTACTGAGTATCATTGGTGAGCTTAGGAGAGACCTCACAACTGGGGGTTACATGCATCCCAAAAGCTCACTCCTTCCATTTCCCTGTTTTCCACCAACACTCCCACTCCCTACATTCACTTTCCTTAGCTGTCTACCTTTTCCAGGTCTTTCTTCCTGATAAAAACCCCTTCTTGCCAAAGGCTTTCTTCTATTGAAAAATAATTCAGCTGTGTGCCATCCTTTGCCCTTGAGACTTCTGTGTAGTTCTGAGTGGTTGACCCAGACTTAATGCTAATTCTAAATCTAGGTGTATTCCCAGGTCCTTTGTAATCCAAAAATATACTAGTTGTTTCTTCACAGGCCAGAAGCCAGCAGTGTTAATTTTGTATCCTTGGAAGAAGAGGGTGTAAGCTGGCAGGAAAAGCTTCCTTGATTAGCTTTTTGTCCTGGAGAATTAAAGAGTTACAGGCTTTTTCAGATTACTTACATGATCAGTGACTGCCATAGTTTAGATTTTTTTTTTTCTCTGAGACTGTTGTCAAAGAAGAGAATACCTAGGTATCTGTGCTCTAAACTTCTAAGAAGCTGAAATTGATTAATGTACTGGTATTTAATTCCTTTATTTTGTATCAATTAAAGCCTGTTTTAGGCTGTTTTATATACAGAACTGTGTGGTAAAAGTAATCTAATTGAATCACTATCTTTACTAAGCAGATCATATCTCAGATACTTGGCAAAAACTATTAATGGTTTGTGTTATTTTCAAAGCTGATTAGACTTATAAACCATCCTTAAAAATGAATTCTAGAAGTGAGTCTTTTCTTAGATTTGAAAACCTGTGAGTTGACTAGTGTTTCTGTTTTGTTTTTTCCTCCCGAATGCATGCATTCATTTGTTGCCAGAGGTTTATTGAAGTCTGAGAGTATAGTGGCATTTGGCTTACTGCATAATTATAGTGTTTTTTTATTTTTCTAAACTAATTGGGTTAAAATGTAGCAGTCACAAAATAACACTATCATTCCCCTTTTTAAAAATTAATATTCCTCCTTTTGTAATGATAGTATTTTTTTTCTAGGATTATCCCTTCTGTGGTATACATTATTTGTTATTGCAAGATGTAGTTGCGGCTCAGATAATAATTAAGAGCCCTTTATAGAGTATTTTCCATCATTTGGCTTGAAACTATCTTTTGGTAGAAAGAAAATAGTTCTGGGGCGGAGGTATTTATATAATTACAAATTTGAAGTCACTGGGATTTATTTTACCTTTATTTGGCTAGAAACCAATAATATGGTAGCATCACCCTTTTGATTTACTTTTTATATCTGAAACTTTTATTTCAGAACTGGTTAGGTCAATGTATCTATTTATGTCTGTGTAATTAGTATTTAGCCTGTTTGTTTAAAGAATTTTGATTAACATTTTTAAAAAATGTAGCCTTAACCAAGTAAAATACTGTTGAATTTGTTCAGTGGAGTCATTGATACTTGATATCATCAGAAAGGGGGAAAAACATGTTAAACTGAAAAAGAAATTCTCTAGTTCAATCACAAATAGATTGACAGGAATTTTACTAATTTTTCTCCAACCTCTCTGATATATACACTTGGAAAAAATAGTTTTTCTGAGTATAAAATTAAGTATATAATTTAAAGCATACAAAATTTCTTCTTTAAAAAAACCTTTAATTTGAAAACATTGCGGTGCCTCACTATAATTTAATAAACATTTATTTGTGTTTACAGCACAGTAGACAAGCAACTGTTAAGTATTACTCTATTCCTGTATCAGTTGAGACCTAGACTATGGGAAGCTTCACAGTGAAAGATGGACAGAAAGATGAGGAAATGTAACCTAAGATAAATTAAGGGACATTAATATTCTCCTACTTCAGATAAAAATCAACATTAATATTCTCCTACTTCAGATAAAAATCATTTTTAGCTACTTTGAATTATACTTAACAGCACCTAGCACAGTGCCATCTACGTGTAAACTATAGGAAGCTATCTGGTCTTAGAGTTGTTTCTGACAGATTTAATCACAATATGAGAAACATTGATTATGGTTTTTATAGTCCTTTGAAATGTAAGCCACTGTATCTTAGGAAAGAAACATTCTAGTTGTGATTTTTTTTTTTCTTCTAATCTTACTGGTATCAGTTAGAATTTGCCATTGAAAAAATAAGGATAATCAGTTTTCTATCCATGTTTAAGATGCAAGTAATCATACTATATTTATACATTTTGTTAAATTACCAAACCCACTGTTTTTACTAAGCATATCTAAATATTTAAACTTAATTTTAAGGTTCCATGAATGTGACTGTCCTAAAAAACACAGACTTTTAATTAAATACGTATTGCTTAGTTCCTATATGCATAGGAACTTGCCTTCTTTTCAATAGACTATGAAAAGAAGGCCTTTCAGCTCAACATAGGCTGTATTAGTCACGTAATATCATACACTGGAAAATTATTTTGAAAAGATACTTGGGATTGGGGACATTTGTGGTAAAATTTAACCAGAAGATGGCAGTGATGATCTTCCTATACTCCCTGCAACGGTAATCAAAAAGTTTTACAAATGTCATAGCATGAAATATGCACGTTCAGCTGTTGTTATATAATGTTAAAAGTTGAGGATCTAAGGGAAAGCACTTGCTATTTATTTTATATACTGTGAAAAATGTGTATTTTTCTATAAGAAGGGATTAAGAATATTTTGGGTGTCTGTATCTTTGTCTGTACACTTCAGTTTTTTCTGAATACTGGGGTAAGGAAGTTCCCATAAGTCTTGCCTTGTTTATTTGCATGTGTCACTTTATGTTATGCATCATGTCTAGAAGGCATGCTGTTTTATGGCCTGTTTGCATTTTTCACCCAAATTGCTGGAAACTAATGAACATTTTAAAGGAGCCATTCCTTTAGCTACAGTCATTTCTCTAAATTGGTATTTTGGGGGGAGGGGCGTGAAATAATTTTAAACATTTTTTTGAAAGAAAAAATTATTGGACAAAAGTGAATCTTTTAAAATAAATCTCAAGAAAATAGATTAATCTAATAACTTAATGACGCCTATTTCAGAGTTGAATTTTTGTAGCAATTGTAAATAATATTTATAATCTGATAATATTAAAATTGAAAAGTTAGAAAGGGGAGAAGGAATGCTCTCCTTTGAAAATTAGTGGCCACATTTGGTGTCAGATGAGATAAAGATGCATCCTTCCATAATCTTGCCTTTTTTAAAAAAATTGTAAAGCTCAAATGCATTTTGCCAGAAAAATTGCACGAATCTTCAGCATGCGTTGTTAACTTTTTGTCTTTTCCTTTTTCTTTCTGCTGTTCATTTTCATTCATATATTTTTGATTTTTGGTTTGCCATTATTTTTTTCTTTTTTGTTAATTATTTCATATTAAATTATTTTTGAAACATCATAAGCTGAGCAACCTCTCCGTGTAGTAACAGCGGATACCTGTCTATTTCACTATTTAGTCCCTCCTCCTATGTCTCCATCTTCCAAATCTGTGAGCACTCCAAGTGAAGCTGGAAGCCAGGACTCTGGAGATGGCGCCGTGGGATCTAGGTACAGTCATTTTCCTTTTACTATTTTGATGATAGAATGCATTCAGTGCCCAGTACTGTTGATACTTTAAAGGGACTCTAAATAGTTGTGCTGAGTTAGTCCTAACATTTTAAAGTCTAAAATGGCATAGAAATTCTCTGTTGGACATTGCGAGGGGAAAAAAAAGTGTTTTTTTTAAAATAATATTTTAACTGTCATATTTAATTAGTACTAAATAGTGAACCAGTTTTATGCTAATTATTTTATATTAAAAATAGAGATATTGCATTTAGATTTTTATGTTTAAACAAACTTTTTGTTATTATATGAGTGTTTTGGTTGTAAATAGTGTAAAACCTCTCTTGTGCTTGATTCCCCATTTAGTAATTGAAAATGTAAATAATTCAGTTAAACATCTCAGTTCTGTTCTATTAAGTCATTAGTTGCGCTAATTAAGGTAGAGAATAATAATGCATAAAATATCAAGAGTAAAGAATAACTGCTAAGGACATTGAGAATGTTTACTTGTCAAGTATTCCTGAACTTGCAAGTTCTGTGTAAAGTTACATTTTGTGTTTATTTTAGGATCTTAAAATGTTGAGACTACATACATGTTGAGACTTGCTTTTGAAAAGTTCAGTAAGATTTCAGCTTTCTTTCAAAGATCATATTGGGAAAAGTATTACTACTTACTCCTTTTTGTCACACACACGTACACACCCACACACAAAATAATAAATATTTAATAGTATCGTACTTTTTGACTTCTGAAATGAAATTAAATGTAGGTAGTCAAAATCCACAGCTAAATAACAATGCTTATTTTGTGCCAGGAAGTTGCATATCCTCCCCAAGAAAATCTCTTAACACATCTTTTAATAAGACATAAACTGTTAGAATTTTTATCCTTTTTGTGTCTGAGTCCCTCTAATTGAAGTTACAAACCAGTAATAAATATCTAAAAGACTGGGCAAGAAAAAAGAAGCAAGGTGGCTGGATGATCTATAAACCCAATACTTTAATCAGCTCTTGAATAATCAGGTAGGTTATCATTAACAATTGAAAGCTTGCCAGCTTTAATTTGAGATGTGCTTTCCAAAACTGTTCTGTGTATAGAACCAAAATTGCAAATCTAAGTAATACTGTCTTTGGAGGTAAATGACATGACTCCTTTATTTAAGAAAAATCAAAATTTTCTTTTTAGAAATAAAGTTAGTTATATTACTTTATAAAAAAATATAAAATAGTATGTATTACAGAACAAAGACAATTTAGTCTAAATTCATTTTTATAGTTAAATTTTTTTTATATTTTGTGCTTCTGTATTTTTATACAAATATGTAATTCTTCCTTCCTTCCTTCCTTCATTTATTTATTTATTTATTTATTTATTTGGAGATAGGGTCTCACTCTGTCACCTAGGTTGAAGTGCGGTGGCACAGTCTTTGCTCACCGCAACTCTGCCTCCTGGGCCCAAGTGATTCTCCCACATCAGCCTCCCAACTAGCTGGGACCACAGGCTTGTGCCACCATGCCTGGCTACTTTTTTTATTTTTTGTAGAGACATGGTTTTGCCATGTTGCCCAGGCTGGACTTAAATTCCCGTACTCGAGTGATCTACCCACCTCTGACTCCCTGGGATTATAGCCGTGAGCCACTGTACCCAGCCACTATTCCTTTAGATACTTAATAATCAACTGGCGGGCCGGGCGCGGTGGCTCACGCCTGTAATCCCAGCACTTTGGGAGGCCGAGGCGGGTGGATCATGAGGTCAAGAGATCGAGACCATCCTGGTCAACATGGTGAAACCCCGTGTCTACTAAAAATACAAAAACTTAGCTGGGCATGATGGTGCGTGCATGTAATCCCAGCTACTCAGGAGGCTGAGGCAGAATTGCCTGAATCCAGGAGGCGGAGGTGGCAGTGAGCCGAGATCACGCCATTGCACTCCAGCCTGGGTAACAAGAGCGAAACTCCGTCTCAAAAAAAAAAAATAATCAACTGGCATTTTTAAGTGAAGGCTTTTTTTTCCCCTTCTACAACATTACCATAGTAAAATAGTTCCCAGGAATAAAAATTACTGTATTTATTAAATGTCTTTGATATTGTATTTTATTTTTATGTAGATACTATACTGTGTACATTATAACTAATTGTTCCTGATTTTGAATAGTAGAAAGATTATTTTAATTCAGTGTCAGCAAGTTTGCTTTCAAAAATACTTTGTGACACCTACTTAAGTTTTTTAAATTAATGTGAATTAAAACATGTTCCCATGAGTTTTATGGAGAGCCCAGACGATATTAGAGACCTGTTAGAATATTGTAAATTAATACAGGGAGTAATACTGATAAGAAAAATATTCATGCATAGAACGAATATTCATTAAGTTATTAACTTTATTAAATACTGTGGGTTACCACAAAGGATAAAACATTCTTGGTCCTTGCTTTCATGGAATTTACATTATAGTGATTGAATCATTAATTTAAAGATACTGTTGACTTTATTGAAAAGCCCTCAGGGTAGTGTGCTAACCTATATTTAGTGTGAACTGTAGTTTATTAAAGTGATAAATTGGAAACACCAAAAAAGTTAATATTTTTTAAAGTATTTGTTCTTGTTAGATAATGAATACAAAATTAGCTTCTTGTGAGTTTATCAGAGAGAAAAATCCTCTTTTTGAATGAGGTGATCTTACATCTTTTTAAATTTTCTTTGAGATGGAGTTTCCTTCTTGTTCCCAGACTGGAGTGCAGTGGCACGATCTTGGCTAACTGCAGCCTCCACCTCCTGGGTTCAAGTGATTCTCCTGCCTCAGCCTCCTCAGTAGCTGGGATTACAGGCATGTACCACCACCAGGCCTGGCTGATTTTGTATTTTTTGTAGAGACAGGATTTCGCCATGTTGGCCAGGCTGGTCTTGAACTCCTGACCTCAGATGATCCACCCACCTCAGCCTCCCAAAGTGCTGGGGTTACAGGCATGAGCCACTGCGCCCAGCCACATCTTTTTAACCTTAATATGTACATTGTCTCCTTTGAGAGTACAAACTCAGTTGAAAACATTAATTTTCAAGAAGGCTGAGTATATTCATTTTAATGTATATGTACACATACGCAGTAATAAAAAATGAATTCTACCTAAATCATATACAGCTTTCATAGAGATAATTAATGTTGTGATGATGATATTGACAGTGAAATAAAACATTTCTGAATATATGATGTTTAAAAAGAGTTCCCAGGTCTGAGAATGAAACCTAATGAACTCATGTTGAGCAAAAACGATGCTAATGTAAGAATAAAGACAATAAGAAGAAATACAGGAAAATGCATGAAGACATGTGAGACGTATGCATGCACCTGTACATGAAAACTTCAGTTGGCCAATGCAGTCTAAGATTAGTACACGTAGGGAGTAGGAATAGATACAACATAAAATATGCTATCTAAACATGCTTGAATCACTCTAAGCGCCAAGAATTTCTTTTGGGACTGATGGTAATTTAAGAATAAATTTAAAAGGCCATGAGAAATGATCTCTCTCTAACTTTGCAGATTAGGGAGCTGCATTTTATTTGTTATCTCGAAAATTAGGAACAATTATTTAGTAGGGTAATCCAGGCCTCTTGTTCCTTTTTTCCTTTTTTTTTTTTTTTTTTTTTGACTTGGAGTCTTGCTTTGTTGTCTGGGCTGGAGTGCAATGGTGTGATCTCAGCTCACTTCAGTCTCTGCCTCCTGGGTTCAAGTGATTCTCCTGCCTCAGTCTCCCCAGTAGCTGGGATTACGGGTGTGTGCCACCTGGCTACTTTTTTATTTTTAGTAGAGACAGGATTTCACCATGTTGGCCAGGCTGGTTTCAAACTCCTGACCTCAAGTGATATGCCCACCTCGGCCTCCCAAAGTGCCAGGATTACCAGTGTGACCCACTGTGCCTGGCCCTTTTTTCCATTTTTGATCAGTTTGTTTCTCAGGCTTTGTACTTGGAATTGTATGTCTGAAGATGCCCTTAATAAATATAATCATGTACACATCCAATGGATTTTCAGTACTGGCTGTATTTTGAGGTACAGTCTTACTTGATTTTAGACTAAAATGACATCCTCAACAAGGAACTTTATGTCATTGATAGCAGATCTCTTACATAATGTAAAGGCTATTGACAGAACATTCCTTGGAGACCGTCTCATAGAACTTCTTTTGATTTAACAAAGCCTAAGCTTGTTGCTGTGTTCATTGCTTAGTACAAAGTAGATCTTCACTGTGGCTGCTTCTTACATTGCATACACATAATCTTGTTTAAATTCCAAGATCTTTCTTTATGTTTTTTAAATGGAGGATTTCTCTAGATTAATTCATTATTATTTTTCTTGATAAATTGTATAGGCAGGTAAGAGAAACCATTTGTTGTATTAAAACATTGTAGCAACTAACACTAGTTGTACCTTATAACATCTTAGATAAGTGAAAAATATATTTGATAAAAATGGTAGTACTAAATGTATTATGCTTAACTTTTTTTAAATGGGGACTATGAGCATTAGACTGTACTGTGCATAATTATCTTATATATTGCTAACCTACATAAATGCCAGTATGATAAAGTACCTTTTGTTCTACTAGTAACTTTGTTAGGCTTAATTGGAAAAGATCCTCTATAAGTTGCTTAGCCAGTAGATGATGCTAACACTTATCACTAAATATTTATTTAGAATTGATATTTGAACATAAATTATTTTTCCAGGGAAAAATGTATTTTTTCCTAGAGACAGAAATCTTTAGTTGTTTTCTTAAGCAGATGATATGTAAGCCCAAGGCAGTGCTTAACCCATAAATTACAGAAGGGTCACATTTTGGAAACTTTAGCTATTTTGTATCCCAGTGGGATAGTCTTTGGTTTTATTACCAAAAGGCTTATGTGTTGACTCATTTCCTTTACCAGTATGACAATTTCCTGCACACATTTAATGCTTTGGGGAAGATTAGAATACGTTAACTAAGATGTTTAAATGTGGTCTTTTTTCACTAGAAATCTTGAATTTTCAACCATTTTATAGCCTAGCTTGTTATCCATAAATAATTACTTGGGTTGTCTGCTTTAGTTGTTCTGAAGCAGATCTGTTCTGAATACAATATTAGTTTCCCATAGTCTGTAAATAATGTCTTTTTACTATTCTGGGGTATATGCTTGCATCTTTAACCGTAGTAAGCTTACTGCATGCACTGGATGATTGAGTGACCTGGTGGATTTTTTGTTTTGTTTTTTGATGTTTTTTTAAAAAATACTAACCAGAACATGTAGTTTTTAATTGTGAACAGTACTTTAGCTTTAGCTATTCGTAGAATGTATTTGCTTGACTAACTTATGGCCTTTTTTGCTAATGCTTCATGGTTGTCCTGCAACCATTTAGGACGCTGCATTGGGATACAGATCCATCAGTTCTTCAGCTTCACTCAGATTCCGATTTGGGGTATTGAATAGATTTTCTACCTTCCCTGTTTTATAATGAATTTGATTCTTTGTGAAACTGTCCTAATTTTATTTTGCTTAAGTTTGTAATATTGTATCATGTAGTAATGACAAGAGTTATATTTTACTGTGACACCTCATTTATCCAGTATCTTTAATGAAAGAATATTCTCTCCATGTGATGTTCTAGTTACCCTAAGTCCATTGAAGTGTCCAAACTTTTAAAATTATATCTGTATTTTTAAGATAAGTTTTCTAAGAGTTATTTAAAAACTTCTCAGACTTTTTCTAATACACAGTCTACATGAAATTGAACCTTTTCAGGGTTACTTGGTATGGATATTAATTTATTTTTCTATATTAAAATTCACTGACGATTTCTTAGATTTTGAGAGTAATGGAGATGCTGGTCCTTACACCATTCATTCATTACTGTTCATTCATAAATCTAGAATAAATAAATGAATGAATGGTTGAATCTAGAATAAATATATGAGTGAATGGATGAATAGATTACTCTTCATAGAATGTGTAGATGAATATTATTAATATAATTGTCATTAAGTCTCTATTTTAAATAGATTCTTTTCTTTCATTTTTGTTTTCTTTATTGCTTTTCTTTTTTATTTTTATTTATTTATTTTTTTTTTGAGATGGAGTTTTGCTCTTGTTACCCAGGCTGGAGTGCAATGGCATGATCTTGGCTTACTGCAACCTCTACCTCCTGGGTTCAGGCAATTCTCCTGCCTCAGCCTCCCAAGTAGCTGGGATTACAGGCGAGTGCCACCATGCCCAGCTAACTTTTTGTATTTTTAGTAGAGACGGGGTTTCACCATGTTGACCAGGATGGTCTCGATCTCTTGACTTCGTGAGCCACTGCGCCCAGCCCGTCTCTTTTGCTTTTATTTTTTGGCATATTTTCATAGGGAAACATTAGAAAAATAATGCTTTATAGTTTCTGTATGTATGTCTTTGTTTTTTAGAGTTTTAAAACTTGTTCTTTTAGAAGTTAACACTGTAAGCTTATATGTATGGTTTTTAAATTTTGTTGACATAGAGATAAGATTATTCATCCATTCATTCACTCATTTTATTCTAGATCCTAATGCAAATTTTAAATGTTTGCTTGCCATCTTGCCTGACTCAGATAGCCCTTTTCCCCTGATAACTTATACCTTCTAAAATATATGACTATACCTTTTGGAATTGTGTCTTAAGTAAGAGTAAATGAGCCTTGATTTTAGGCATATAAGAAAAATACATGAGTTTCTCGTACATGAACTGGAAGACCTCTTTATTGGCCACATTGAGGCTTCCCCCTCCCGCCTCCCATTGTTTTCTTATTTTCAGTAAAAGTGTCTTTTGGATAAGTGAGGTATTACTTCCCTACCCACCTCCTCCTATAAAATCTTGGAATATTTTGTTTGTTTAATATTGTGGGGTTTTTTTGTCTGTTAGTCTCTATATGCATTCACGTTGGTAACTTGTTTCTAATATAGTTGGCTTGATGATTTTTTTCCAGATATGTGAGTGATTTACTTTTTTATATAATTTGCATCTTAAAAATCAGAATATAAAGTTTCTTATTTCAAATTTTATTCTTAGACTTCTAGATTACTTCAGATTACTTAATTTGTCCAATTAATTCTTTGACTATGCTTCCCCCCCACCTTTTTTTAAACTAGAAGAGACATTAAAAAATTGCTATGGCCCACATTTTTTTATTACTTTATACTTTATAATACTTTATTGTTTATGCTTTATTATATTGTACAGGACTTGGATTTAGTTACTAAACAGAACTGAAAAGAGTATTTATATAAGAAAAAAATTCTCTTACCAGTGATAGCCTGCTTCATATTCTGGAAGTTACAACAGTGTCTTTATTGCATATCTTTTTAAGGCAGCTTCATAACTGAGAACTTTTTTGGGAGTTTGGAAGTGTACTTTATTTGGTTTAGAATTTAAACATCTAACATAATAACCAATAAAAGATCTCCCAGATAACTAATAAAAGATATTTTTCTTTTCGTTCATTTTCCTCAGCCACAGCGCTCTTCCATTATCAAAAAAGAATGTATTCCTTATATTTAACTAAAACAGAAGTGATTTTAGTAGATTTGTGGTATTCAGAAGATCTGTCATTTTAGTCTAGGTGTAGAATATCTGAATTTTTTTGTAGTTTGTCCATATATGAATCAAGGGCAGTATTGATCATGCAGAGATTAGAGATTTAAAAGTTTTAAATATTTCTTTTTAAAGTTCAAATTGATAATGTAATTCTCCATTTCTGCCAAATAAAAGTAGAAAAAAGGCTTTTAATAGGAACCTGTTTTTCAGTTGTAAAGCTGAATTCTCCTTTTGGCGAGATCAACTAAATGTGGTCTGAGTGATATCCATGTCTGATTCTTCAAAAAAAAAGTCCAGAAAGAACCATATCCCAGCTGAAACCAGTTTCTTTTAACAACCTTATTCAGTGGTCCACTCTGAAGTTCCTATCCTCTTACTTCATTATTGCTTACACATTTATTCTAAATAATGAAATTACTTGGCTTTTTAAAATGAAAAATAAAAATACTGAATGATTCAGAAATATCTTTTGCCTTTGCTACCTTCTAATTCTTTTGCTAAAATACAGCCAGTTTATCGTTAATCTAAAATTTCTTGAATAAAATGGATTTAATTTAATTTACAATGTTGGGTGCAAAGGACTGTTTACTTCTTAATTTTGAAAATAACATGGTTTGATGTAATTAAAATGTATTGTTTTTATTCACTTAATTTAGAAGAGGACCTATTAAACTTGGAATGGCTAAAATCACTCAAGTTGATTTTCCTCCTCGAGAAATTGTCACATATACAAAGGAAACTCAGACTCCAGTTATGGCTCAACCCAAAGAAGGTGAATATCTATCCTTAATATAATTGTCATTGAGCACCTATGTTAAATACATATTCTTTTTTTCTTCCTTTGGTTTATCTTTTATGTCTTTTTTCTTTTGTATTTTGGCATATTTTTTAGGGAAACATGAGAAAATAATGCTTTACAGTTTCTGCACTGTGTCTTTCTTTTTTAGAGTTTTAATACTTGTTCTCTTAGAAGTTAACATTGTAAGCTGTATGTGTGGTTTCTTAATTTTGTTAACATAAATTTAAGTCTTTGAGTCTTTATATTGTCATTAATGTATACTGCTTTTAGAAGCCAAAACGCTTAAGCATAATTTTGAGCATGATTCTTCCCCAAAAAAGAGTGGGTCCCACAGTAAACAAAGTCATGTAAATTATTTCTGAATAGCATAGTGTATCCTGATGTTATTCATACTAATAAATGAATCTAGACTTAATTTTTAAACTTTCTCTTTTATGATATAGGGGCTGTATTATGTTGATTAGTTAGTAGCCTGTAATTTGTGTAAAATATGGGGAAGTAAGCACAGACATAATGAATGTGGAGACCCTTTGGTAAAACTGGAAAGCATTAAAATAGCTAATGATTCAAGCATAAGGTCCTGTGATCTCGTTTTCCCAGTGAGGCTAATGAATTTATGTCATCCAAAAAAAAAAAAAAAAAGATTTATGTGAGATCCCTAATACACTTCGGTATCTTACCCGAAGCTTTTGGGGCCATATATATATTAGAATTCCAAATATTTCAGATTATGGAAAAGTAATAAAATTGTATCATATGTGAAAACTCTATTGGTATCTTGGTCATTAATATTTTGGCAGCAAAGCATATGAGTATACTAAGTGAAATAAGTAATGACTATAAATAGCTTTATCTCTGGTCATGTCAGTGTTTACCACCAAATGAGTTGTGGATTTTAGAGCCGCTAACAGTTTGGGAATAGAAATTTTATTAAATGTTTAAATTAATTTATTTTGTAATTTTTAATTAAATTATCATGTTTCTCCATTAAGGAAAAACAAAAGTTATATTTATTGCAGAAAGCCAAGAAAATACAGGTAAGCAAAATGAGGAGAAATCCTTGAAACCCTGTCTACTACCAAAAGAAATTTTTTAATTTTCATATTTGTATATACCTAGGAAAAATTAGGATTGTGGCTGGGTGCAGTGGCTCAGTGCCTGTAATCCCAACACTTTGGGAAGCCAAGGCAGGTGTATTGATTGAGGTCAGGAGTTCAAGACCAGCCTGACCAGTATGGTGAAATCTTGTCTCTACTATGAAATTCTGAAAATTGTCCAGGCCTGGTGGTGGGCACCTGTAATCCCAGCTACTTGGGAGGCTGAAGCAGGAGAATCGCTTGAACCCAAGAGGAGAAGGTTGCAGTGAGCTGAGATCACACTACTGCATTCCAGCCTGGGTGACACAGCGAGACTCCATCTCAAAAAAATAATAAAATTAGGGTTGGTAAAACTAGAAAGCATTATAAATAGCTAATGAGTCAAGCATATAATTACAGTTTCAAAATTTTGAGGAAATTGATACAACATTTTTGTCCGAGTACTTTATTTTTATTTATTTATTTTTTTGAGAGGAAGTCTTGCTCTGAGACCCTGGCTGGAGTGCAGTGGCACCATCTCAGGTCACTGCAACCTCTACCTCCCAGGTTCAGGTGATTCTTCTGCCTCAGCCTCATGAGTAGCAGGGAGAAGAGGTATGCATCACCGCTCCTGGCTAGTTTTTGTATTTTTGGTAGAGACAGGGTCTCTCGCCATGTTGACAAGGCTGGTCTCAAACTCCTAGCCTTAAGTGATTTGCCCACCTTGGTCTCCCAAAGTGCTGGGATTACAGGCATGAGCCACCTCACTCAGCCAAGACTTTCATTTTTTAAAAATAGTTTTTTCTAATTACTATAGCCGTATATCATAGAGAATTTAGAAGTACAGAAAGGATATAGAGAGGAAACATTTTTGATTCTTCTGTGTATGATCCATTGTTAATATTTTGGTTCCAATGAATATGTCTCCAAACTTCTTATTTAAATTGGTGACTAAAAATTATAACACCAAGAAGTGCCTACCACGTATCAGGCATAGTGTGAGACACTTTGCATCATCTATAATGCTGTCACCAAAACCCTGAAAGTTAGGTATTGGTTTTGTTTACACACAAAGAAGCTGAAACTGAAAGAAATAGTTTGTCAAGTGTTACGTAGCTAATAGCTGTGATTGTAAACCAAATCTGACTGATTCTAAGGTGTGCTTTCTCTCACCACTGAAGCAGCAACTCATGTTTTTATGATAGTAACCTATAGTAAGTAGTTCGGTTTATATTTAGCACTGATTCTATTTGAATTTGAGTATAGTTTATTGAGTATTTGCTGTATATAAAGGCACTAGATTATCCTTTCTTTGGATTTGTTGTCCTTTTAGTTACAGGTTGAGGTATATAGGTGAAGGAAAAAGAAAAAAATTGTATCCTGATACCATGAAGCTATCCTTAACCTTTGGAAATGTTTATAAAAATGAGATATTCGGGCAGTATCCTTTGGGGGAAAAAAATGAGATAATTTCTTTTCTATATCATTACAGTTATTTTCATGTCTGGAGCTCTTACATTAAGTTTCTTTTCCCAAGTTATGTAAGTTTTAGAAAGAGGGAAAGAGAAAAACCTTGAAATTAAGATTTTATAATGGAAACACTGTGTGCTTAACTCTTCTTTGCTTACCCATCACTTTAATACCTTGGCAATCAAACTTCGCCTGGTTGGTTCCCATTTCAGAATTATGTAATGAATTCCACAACTCACCATGAAACAAAATTGGTGAACTCACAATTGGAGTGTAACAAACAGCAAATTAAACTTGGGTAGGCAGTATAATCCATGCAGAAGTAATGTGACTTACCAAATTGAAGCTAAAAATTGGTCATAGACTTAACTCTTATCTTTTTTTTGTATGTTTTTAAAATAAAAATGGCCAAGCCTATTCCTTTAAAAAAGCGGTTTTTATTCTGCCTTGTTTTTCTTATTCCTTGTTCTAGCCATCTTCTTGCTTTCAAGTTTACTCTATAAGTTGGTAGTACTGTTTCTGAACTGCGGTGCTTTGCTATCTTAAAGCACCTACTGTGAATAAAATTGACTAGTACCACATGACTTCAGTCAATTTTCTTCTCTGCAGGTGAAAAGCTTCTCTTGGCAGGAACGTGGTGCCCACAGAAATACTCCTGGAAAAGTTACTTTCTTTGCCTTTTAAAAGTTTTAACTCTTTTGAAAATGGCTTTATTTTTTCTTACCTACTTATTCTGTATGGGTTTTTTTTTTAAACTATTTTTTGAAAGCTCATTAAAGGAAAAAGAAACCCTGAAGTTTATCTAATTTAATCAGCTTGTTTACATCTGAGGAAACTGAGGTTCAAGGAGATTAATTAGTGGGCCTAAGTCCACAGTGTGAGAGAATATTGGGCATACATCCAGAAACTGGCACTTGATTTTTAGTGAAGCACGATTTCTCTTATTGCATTCCACTTTCCTATCTGTGAAGGAGTTTGTAATTACTGTTGGTATTGGCTTAATAGCCAAATATTTTTCCTCAATACCTGTTGATTAGCTCTATAGCTTGGCCAACATGGTGAAACCCCATCTGTACTGAAAATACAAAAATTAGTCAAGTGTGGTGGCACACACTTGTAATCCCAGCTACTCAGGAGGCTGAGGCAGGAGAATTGAACCCAGGAGGCAGAGGTAGCATTGAGCCAAGATCATGCCATTGCACTCAAGCCTGGGTGACAGAGTGAGACTCTGTCTCCAATAAATAAATAAATTAATTGATTAAAATGGATTTTTAAAAGATTCTGGAATGAATAACACATTTAATAAATTAGTTTTAGCCCTCAGAGGACCTATAAGGATATAAACATAATTGAAAATTGAAGCATTTGTTCTTAATCTTGATTGAAAGACTTTAATCAGCAAATCTGAAACCCTGGCCTCAGAAAAATGTAATGTTTGATGAGATGACAGATAACAAAGTCTACGTAAGGGTGCTAATACTGCCAAATAAAACCCAAATTTTATATAAAAAGGACTATGGCTGGGCAAAGTGATGTGCACCTGTAGTCCCAGGGACTCAGGAGGCTGAGGCAGGAGGATCACTAGAGCCCAGGAGTTTGAGGCCAGCCAGGTCACATAGCAAGACCCCATCTCTTAAAAAAAAAAAAAAGACTACAGAGAGACAAATTTTGTGTTAAAGGAAGTGGTATAATTAAACTATTAATCCTTTCCCCCCCAAATTAGCATTACATCTATATTGAAATAATTTCTGATTAAAAAGTCAGCTGTGTATTTTTCCTTGAAGAGCCAGAGAAAACCAGGTGACCTGGCATCTTATTCTAGATGGTGTAAAAAAAGGAATGGATTCCATTGGTACATTCATGAAGCTTTGTCCCAGCGAAGATTATCTTAAAGATGTATTTGATTTTAAAGAGTAAAGTATAAGAAGGTGAAATTATGCACAAATGGATTTAAATAGAGTGATTCAAAATGAAACTGCTCCAGAAAAGAAGGGATTTTTTGAAAATGTTAAATGAGAGCCAGGCGCAGTGACTCACGCCTGTCATCCCAGCATTTTGGGAGGCCGAGGTAGGTGGATCACGAGGTCAGGAGTTAAAGACCAGCCTGGCCAATGTGGCGAAACCCCATCTCTGCTATATAAAAAATATATATATACAAAAATTAGCCAGGCGTGGTGGTGTGTGCCTGTAATCCCAGCTACTCGGGAAGCTGAAGCCGGAGAATCACTTCAACCCGGGAGGTGGAGGTCGCAGTGAGCCAAGATTGCACCACTGCACTCCAGCCTGCGCAACAGAGCGAGACTCCATCTAAAAAAAAATAAGATATTAAAGGGAAATTATTCCTATGTAATCTGTATTTTTAAACTAATGATTTAAAGCATTTTCATCTAATATTTTCATAGATGTTTGTGAAGTTATTCATAAGTTGAAATTTTCTAAAGTCAAATCATATTTTTATATGCCACAAGTGTCCTGACTTTTAGAACTCAGTGTCATCTTCCTTTATACCAGGAATAATCAGACTACCTTGTAAATTAGGAATTTTTCATAGGATATTAAATTATCTTAAAATGGGATGCATTTTAAAATATTAGAAGAAAATATGAAAATATTATAGGAAAATGCTTTAATCATCAAAGGAATATGCTTTAATCATTAGTTAAAAAAATAGAGATTACATAGGAATAATTTTTCTTTAATATTTTCTTTATTTTTTTTTTGAGACAGAGTCTTGCTCTGTTGTCCAGTATAATAAAACTATATAGTAAATTGATAGACAACAAACATATTTCCTAAACAACAGTGCACTAACGATGGGATTTGTTTTTTTGCTTCATATTGAGATATAATCATTTTAAGTGATAGATTCATAAGTAGCAATGTTTGTTCAGTAAGGATTTTCTAAGATACTGTATATTATCTTTTAAATGTCTTGTAATATTTTAAAATAATTCAAAGTATGCTTTGTGACTTACCTTAGCTTACCTTAAATACTTAAATACTCTTAGCTTACCTTAAACGTATCTTAAATGTAAACTGTATCTTAAATGTGCTGTGAGGTACAGATGAGAAAACTTGTTCTGAAGGCTTCTTCCTTTAGTTTAACAAAAGCTACCCATTTCACAGATGATTTAACTTTGATTAACCTACTCCATTGTAACAGATTATTTCAACAACTGGAATTTCATTCTTTAGTAAAAGGTGAAAAATTTATACGATCTGAAGAGAAACCAGAGTATTTGGAATTTCATTCTTTAGTGTTATTTCTAGGTGCAGCTTAATTTACAAAACAGCTTTTCTTTCTGTCTCTCCAAAATATGTCACAATTTTGATGTTAACTCAGTAAAATTCAGTGGTTCATTAAACCTAGTTTTAGCATTCATTTACAAGAGATTTGTCATTTTAAAAGTAACTGCTACTTTTATGCACTCTTTACTGCTCAGTTTATAACCTTAGATTACTTGTCAGAGAAAGCATGGAGTTAACCACTTAGCATATTGTAATGAATATTCATCAATAAATTGATGTGACTTGGCAACCCCATTTTTCAGTCTTCCTGCTCTGTTACAGTCTTTCCCAGTTTTAAATATAGCTCATCATGTAATAAGGACTAGCTTAGAAAATCTTTAGACTGCAGTTTTATATTTTTGGCCATGTTAATAGTCCTTTGGTAGCTATTATATTAGCTTATAACAAGAAAAGCATATTTGTTTCAGAAGAACATCCTTTAATCTGATGTTATTGATATCAGACATTTTTGTGAAATACTTGGTAAATATTATAATTATTTAAGATTAGCCTTACAGCAAAAATATCACATTTTACAGTTTTTAAGAACAGCAGTATCATTTGTTTTTATTTTCCTTGAAACTTATTTAATCATTTTTATGAAGCTTAAGTACCAATTAGAGTTTTAAAATCTGGTTTTAATCCATGTAGAAAGGGAGGGTATGTACTTTTATTCTAAAATAAAACCCTGAGAGCATGTATTTAAATAGTTGATACTCATTATTCAGCTACAACTGAAATAATTTAGATGGACAAATAGGCATGCCAAATGCTGTTGAGTACACAGATACAGATCACTGTCTGACATACTACATCTACATTTTAAATTTTAAAAGGAAAAGAGAGTCTATAAACAAGATCTTTTCTGTTAAATATGTAAATTATGAGGTCACTTAGCACTAAAGTACTGACCATATGCATTATGACAGGAATTTGACACCTGTCATTGGAAATGGTACTTAGAGGCCGTATAATACAACAAAGTTGAAGGAGGAGAATAAGATGTGGGTAGGAGGCTGTAATTTATAATTCACAGTGCTCAAGAATGACCTGTCCTGGGTGACTCAAAATCCCTATCTTTGATTTTAGGATTTACATACAGTGAACTCTACTAGTAAACAGACTTGATTAGGATAACTGGTAGCATTAGCAGGAAGTGGAAAATATATGTATATTCTAACAGTGAATTTTTAGTTGAAGGAGATGTTCTGTTCTAAAAGACAACTTATAAGTTAAATGTAATTAAATTATTTTATTACATTACACCTGCAGGTGACTTTATGGAAGAATTTCATTCTAATGCTTGAGTGGTATCATGTAGAATTGCTACCAGTTATACTATTTTCAGATTAATAATTCGTTGTACATGAGAATTCATCTAAAAAGGAGTAGTGTCTTTCTGTTTCTCTGTGTGATTATTTTGCCCCAAAAAGCTTTCATTTTTTTAAGTAGCACAAAAGCTGTAATTGGCATGCTTTGTAAGGAAGTGTCAATGTGCAAGAGAATGGCGATCACTAAGAATTCTTTTACGTGTTCTTTCCCCTTTGCACCACCGCCTCCTCAGCAGGGTCACTGAGATCACTAGCTTTTCTTGAAATGGCCATTTTCACTGGCAGGTGCATTATACCCTGTATTTTCAGATTGTTTTTCCATTCTGAATGTTTGGCAGGTTGATTGCTCTGGCTGCATTGACAGAGAGAGGACTGACAAATGTGGTTGGGCTGGCTGAAAAGACAGTGATTACTGTTTTCCTTTGTGGCTGATTGAGGCCCTTGAAAGGAAAAATTTTAACCTTCACCATTTGGTTCAAAAGTATGAGCATATATTGAAATCACTCGTGCCATTTATCCTAGTTCTGTAAACTTGTCAGAACGTAAAAATCGCTCAATTTCAAGTAATGTAGGATTGGCATACGTCATTATCATTTTGATTAAGTTGGATGGAGGTTGTATCATTGTGTGCATTATACAGTGTCATTTAAAGCTTTCTTTCCACAGGTACAGTTATATTTTTATTGCTTGTTCTTCAGAGTTAGAAAGATTTTCATAGCTCTCAAAACCTAACACTGTGTGTGTGGTTTGGCAGCTGGTGTGGCCTACAAGCTGCATTTTGTTTGCAGGGTAAAGGCTTGTCTTTAGGCCTCCTGGAGTGCGGGTAATTGCACAGGCCCACCATTGGGGAGAGACACAGGATTGGAAGCAGTCAAGCGGAAGAATGTTATGCCATCCCATTGCCACCTTGTAGCAGAAAGACGTAATCCCAGCAGTGCCATCTGGTTGTTGCTATCTAGTCAGCTGGCCTGGCTGCTGGGACCATGACTTGGCAGCTGGTTTCCATTCTTGACCATTCTTTTGTGTATGTCGTATATATGTGTTTTAGATAATTTTGAACATGGGTCAGGGAAATGACTATAACTACCAAGTAAAGTCCCCTTATTGAATAGGCTCTCATTACTTGAGCTGCACTCTGCTGCAGATGCCTGCTGCCTTTCCCTTATAGACAAATAACGCATGTGTTTAGGCCATAAAAATAAACATTTTCTTCATAAAAACCCATCTAAATGTGTAGCAAAAGAAAAGGTAGGCAGGGTTATGTGTTCTATAACATTTTTAAATAAATTATTTTAAATTCTTATTTGTGATGTAAGAGATTTAGTAATTTTTTAGAAGTCTTATAAACACTGTATATTATCCCAGTGTATATTTTTATTCACATTAAGAAAACATTAAGTGCTTATTGCCACATCATATAACAGTAGATAATGAGACTTGCATTTAAAATGACAGAATAGAAAATGTGGTCTTATAGCTATTATCTTCAAAATCTGCCTCTCAAATAGCAACCTGAGAGTTAATGTAAGCTGTCTTTATGCCATATGAAGACCCATTAGACACTGATGGTTTCAGATCACAAGTAAGCAGCCAGCTCTGTAGGCTATTTTAGACATTTGATTTTCCTCATTCTACAGCATTAATGTGTCAGCATGCTATATAAAACTATGCAGGAGTTGCATGTTGTTCTGTCTAGAATGATAAATGCTGGCAAGCTTTTAGAGACTTCATGAGGAATTCATCCTAGTTGCATATATATCTTATTTCAGTTTATGTAGCTACAGAATTTAGGGTGGCTGTTGCTGAGGTACCGCATAGGTATATATAAAAACCAAAATGTTCTACTTAATTTTTGACTATGTTGGTAAAAATCCCTATTATTTGTACTTGTTCTGTCCTGTCATTGGTTTACTTTTGCTTTTATCTTGGGAGTTGTGATACCCTCTGAAATACTGTCTCAAAGTACTATTTTCATTAAAATAATTAATTCTATCATTCTGCTTTTTTTCAGATGAAGAGGAAGATGATGATGTAGTGGCTCCTAAACCACCTATTGAACCTGAAGAAGAGAAAACTTTGAAGAAAGATGAGGAAAATGATAGTAAAGGTGTCTTAAAGAATTAAACTTTAAAAAATTTTGTTGATTTCTGTTAAGATTTCATTATTTATGTATTAAAGTAGTATAAAATGCTGTAAATCAAAAAAGTGAATCTGATTGAAAAAGAATGTGTAACATTCATTGATCCATACTGTGATAGTGAGTTGACATGATTTGCCTGACATAAATCATACTTCAAAAAATTATTTGTTTTTCAGCTCCCCCTCATGAGCTGACTGAAGAAGAAAAGCAACAAATCTTACACTCTGAGGAATTTTTAAGTTTCTTTGACCATTCTACAAGAATTGTAGAAAGAGCTCTTTCTGAGCAGATTAACATCTTCTTTGACTACAGTGGGAGAGATTTGGAAGACAAAGAAGGGTAATGTTTAATGCTAAGATTTTTAGCTCCAATAATGTTAAATTTAAGAGTGATAAAAGTTATAACATCATCTTTTTGGGGGGGTTGGTCTTTTTTTTGTAGAGAGATTCAAGCAGGTGCTAAACTGTCATTAAATCGACAATTTTTTGACGAAAGATGGTCAAAACATCGAGTTGTTAGTTGTTTGGATTGGTCATCTCAGGTAAAACATAATAAAATTAGCTGCTCTTAACTCATTTTTAAAATTATAATTAGCAGGTAGTTTTATTTTAATTATGGGAATTTTGTGTAATAAATCAATATGTATTATTTAAAATTAATGGATGGCTCTAATGTTAACATAATCAAGTACTTTGGAAGAAAGATTAGAAACATTATTTATATTTAAAATTCAGATCTTTATGTTACAGGCCAGTTTTACTAATTTCAGTTGCTCACCAAATTCTTTGTGTAAAATTTGAACACATTTTAATTAAATGTTTTAACATTAAAATATTTAAAATAATTAACTGTTCTAATTTAAAATTGTACTAATGTCCCAATGAGCATAACGCTAGAGATGTCTCTCTTGATGAAATGTTAGGTATTTGTATTTTCAGAATAATAATCTGATAAAGACAAATAACTAGGAATATAAAACAGTTCTTATTATGCATAGCATTTCTTTTCTTCTTGATTCTTCTGAGCAGTATCCAGAGTTACTCGTGGCTTCCTATAATAACAATGATGATGCCCCTCATGAGCCTGATGGTGTGGCCCTTGTTTGGAATATGAAATACAAAAAAACTACCCCAGAGTATGTGTTTCACTGCCAGGTATGGTGGTCTTTTAACAGTCTTCCTCAAGTTTAAGAATTCATTGATGAATTAAGACAAGTGCCTTTTTTCTTTTCTTGTCAACATAATGATTTCATTGGATTGGCATTTTACTAAACCACTCCATATTTGCAAACAGATGTTAACAGAAAACTGAAGACTTCTCAGTTCAACATGATATGCCTTTTGTAGCTTTTCTGACATCTCTTATAATGTTTAATCACACCTAAAGTCCTTTGCAGTTGTGATTCTCTGTTATGGTGATTGACTGTATAAAAGGAATCTTTTATAAAATGTCTTTCCTACAGGGAGTTTCCCAGGAACTTATTTGTGAATATACAATTAGGTGGTTGGCCCACTGAATTACTTATACATGGCCTGAGGAGTTGGAACTAGATGGTTTTAAGTAGAAACACATGGTTGAAGTAGAAAACAGATGCAGATTTTTAAAGCAGGTTTACTAGAAGGTTAGAATTTGCAAGTCTTTTCTGGTTGCATAAGTTAAAATCTTTTAATAATGTAAAATCTTTAGTAAACACTTCTTTGAATCAAACTAGCATGTACTCTACTGTTGAATACTGTCAGAGGCTAACGTAACTGAAATAACTTTGCTTTCTTTGATAAATTGGTTAAACATACTTATGTAAGCAGTCATTACATTTGACTTTTAAACAAAAAAGTATCTTAAAGATACTTTTTATATTTCTGAAACAGTGAAAACTTTTAATGAATTTACTTAGTTGTTATCATAACCTGTAATACCATATAATGAAGAAATAAATGTTTCAGATAATAGATTGATTTTTAGAACTTGTCAGTCTTTTCCATTTGAATCTCAAGTATAAAAATCTTACTTATTTGCAGTCAGCTGTGATGTCTGCCACATTTGCAAAATTTCATCCAAATCTTGTTGTTGGTGGTACATATTCAGGCCAGATTGTGCTTTGGGATAACCGTAGCAATAAAAGAACTCCAGTGCAAAGAACTCCACTGTCAGCAGCTGCACACACAGTAAGTAAACATGTTGATTTTTATTAGGCTTCTGTGTTCCTTCACTCTTAGCTACATACTTAGCAGTGCCCATCAGAGGTGTCTCAGAATATGCTTCCTTTGGTGAATCATTCCTCACTATTTAGCAACCAAAAATGAAGTCTGGTTTTTTTTTTTTTCTTTTGAAATTTATTAGAAACTGATCTCTTTTGAGACAACCTTTTGTTAATAGCAAACTTCACATTAAGAATACCCACAAGTTATGAGACTTGATAATAAACAGAATGTCTATCTATAATTAGACTAAAAAATTTGTTTTGCTTTTGGTGAAATAATCCCTGAAAACTTTCTTTAATATCTCTAGCACCCTGTATATTGTGTAAATGTTGTTGGAACACAAAATGCTCACAATCTGATTAGCATCTCTACTGATGGAAAAATTTGTTCATGGAGTCTGGACATGCTTTCCCATCCACAGGTAGGTTGAACTTGGGAAACTGAAATTTTGATGCAAATGTTATGTTTTAAGTGTATATATACCTCAACTTATGTTTCTCATAAACTGTTTTATAGTAGTGTTACAACAGTTTATAAGCTGAAATGCATTTAATATGGTTTGCTGTGTATTTTACTTTCAAACCTGCTTCATTTAATTAAGGTAGACTTGTATAAATAATACAGTAAAAGAATTGTTTACAAATCAAAGACTGGAAGTTTTTCTACAGAAATTTAAAATTGCAAGTTTACAAACTAATTTTCTCAGGTTTTTCTGTGTAGGATAGCATGGAGTTGGTTCATAAACAATCAAAGGCAGTAGCTGTGACATCCATGTCCTTCCCTGTTGGAGATGTCAACAACTTTGTTGTTGGGAGTGAAGAAGGTTCAGTGTACACAGCATGCCGCCATGGCAGGTAAACCTAAACTGGAATTTGCAATAATTTAAAAGTCTTCCTTTAATCCCATTGAAGCAAGTTGCCTAATTTAAGTAGAAATTTGTTCTAGACCTACTTGTTATTTGTGATTGATTTTTTTTATTCAGGCATATAAAATTATAAGTTAAATACTTTTTTACATAAAAGATAATTTTGGATTTATGATGTGTTCTTGATTTTGTGGGTTGCGGTATGTTGTCGTTTTGTGTGTGTGCATGTATAAGTTAGTGGTAGGCAGGAACATTCAATAGTTACAAGTACAAATGCACATGCCTATATTGACTTAATAGACTTATAAATGAGATTTTCAGCTGTTTTCCCATTTTGATTTATTTGGACTTTCGGCATTGGTTCAGTCTCCTGATAATTGTATAGTAATGTCACATACTTATTTTAAATTGAGTAATATTTCTCCTTCCATTCTGTCTGTTTTGAAATTGTTTAGCTGTACCTTATTGCTTCCTTAAAAAAAACTGAGTGTCCAGATTTCATCTCAAACATAGATCACCATCACTTCAAAGCTTTTGATTTAAAAGTAGCCCACATTGTGCCTCTTAAGTATAGTGTATCTTTGTTTCTATTGCACCATTTCAGATATTAGACTTTTGAGGTCCGATATCAACAGCATGATATTTACAGTTCCAAAAGTACTTATTACTTTAGTAGTGTTACCAAATATGGATGGAATAACACTTAACAAAGTTACTCTGATAAGTTATGAGCACAGAGTTAAGTCTGTCAAAATTAAGTCAAGGCCTGATATATAAACCCATAATAAAATGTGTGTGTAATTGGTCTACTTATAGGAGACTTCGCTAACATTTTCACTTTTATGAAATTAGCAAAGCTGGAATCAGTGAGATGTTTGAGGGGCATCAAGGACCAATCACTGGCATCCATTGTCATGCAGCTGTTGGAGCAGTAGACTTCTCACATCTTTTTGTCACTTCATCATTTGACTGGACAGTAAAACTTTGGACAACTAAGGTATCTAAAATATAGATGTCTGCTATTTGCTCAGGTTTCTGACATAAGGTGGTGATCTAGTACTGCATAGGAATGATGAAAACCTTTTAAATCACGTTTACTAATAGATCAAGACTGCTAAGACATTACACAGAGCCTTAAAACTACTAAATGCTATAGTTTTTATAAAAGTGTGCTAACAAGTATGGCAACCCTACGCATAATCAAAGACCAGTCTTCCTACCACTTCAGTCTTTTTGATTATAGAACTGTTTACCCTGAACTGCATTGGGGGAAAAAGCCCTGAGTGTCTCGCATAGCACCTCATACAGTTGTTATTCAGCTCAGCACAAAAGCTATTCATTTGCTCTTTGGAGAGTTTTTAACAGCGTATTCAGAACTACAGTGGCTCACAGAGTTGATGGAAAATAGGAAAAGAGAGAGAGAAACTGATTTACAATAAGTCCTGTATAATAAGGCTATATGTAGTAAACTGGAATCATTAGGAAAGCATTGTGTAAAAGCATGGATGCATATATTTTTTGTCATTCTATGATAAGCAGTTTAAATTCATTTATTTTGGTTTTAATAAACTTGAGTTATTTTAAAAACCCATTTATGTGATAAAATGCTTCCTGATCCTCCAGCAGTTCCAGATAAATGTGACATTGTCTTGACCTGTTGAAAGTCTCAAGACAAATCCAAGTAGGCAGATTTACCTCATGTGATAGACTTGGAATTTCATTTAATCTCATTTTATAATTAAAGTGTCTTAACTTTGCTGTCTGGTTTTTCTGCAGTGTTACATTATTACTGGGAAAATGCATACTCAGCATCAGATTCCATTTAAATTAACTTCTAAGCTTTTCTTTTTTCTGTTTCCATCTGCCTTATCCTAAATATTGACTTGTAAATAATTTAACATGAGACAATGTATAGAGATCTTTGGTTCTTCAGTTTCTGTGAGAAAACCTAATGATCTTAAGAGATATTCTTCACTGTTTTGTGAACTCCTAATTATTTATCAAGTGTTGACCTTAGAAATCTGGGATGAACTCATTATTCATTCTTGACCTTTCCTGATGCCTCCTTTCTGTCTAATACTGAAGTGAATTTGTCTCTAAAAGCTTGCCTTTTAAAATTGAGCATTTTGGGGTTTGGCATTACCAGATAAAAAATAGTGTTTACCTTAACTCTAATGAAGGAAACAGATGCTTAACACAGTGTTCAGCAAATAATAGGCACTTACCAATATTTAGTTCCTCTTTTACCTCTTAATGGGGATCAGACAGAGCCTGAATACATTTAATAATACATTTAATAGGTCATCTCTTTCCTTTCTTGTTCTTGAAATTTTGTCCTTTTGATGAAATTTATACAGTGGGAAAACATAGAAGAAGATGCTCAAAGCCTACCAGCAAAAAAAAATGCACAATCTAGCTAGCACAGGCTGAGCAACCCTAATTTGAAATCCTCCAAAATTTAAAACTCTTTGAGCGCAGACCAGACACTCAAAGGTAACATTCATTGGAACATTTTGGGTTTTGGATTTTTGGATTAGGGATGTATAACCCTAAGTATAACACAAATACAGCAGGTTATCAGATAATGTATTGTCATAAAATTGACAAGAAAAAACCAGCTGGGCTCAATAGCTCATTCTTTAATCCCAACACTTTGGGAGGCTGAGGCAAAAGGAATTGCTTGAGCCCAGATATTCAAGACCAGTCTGGGTAACACAAGGAGACTCATATTTACAAAAAATTTAAAAATTAGCCAGGCATGGTGATGAGCTTCTGTGGTCCTAGATACTTGGGAGGCTGAAGTGGAAGGATTGCTCAACTGGTGGGTCTAAATTGTCCCAGTCTGAATGAGTGTGGGTGTGTCTGAGTGCGCCCTGTGATGGAATAGTATCCTGTCCATGGTGGGTTCTTGTCTTGTGCTCTGGCTAGCTGTGACCTTGAACAGGTTGGAAAATGAATGAATGAATATAAATTGTCATAAAGTAAAAATTTGTAAGATACATGGTAATCATACAAAGGCACGACAGTTAAAGGATGCAGTATGAACCACTCAGGGAGCCCAGCATCTTAGTCATTGTTTGTTTTAGAACTGCCTGGTGATAGGGCTACTCCTTACAGTTTTCACTTTGCAAAACATTTATTCCTCAATTTAACCCACCACCTCCTCTACCACCATTATTTACTGGTTCACCAAAACTTGGGTTAGTAATTATTTTGTTTTTATTAATCTTTCTCAAATGTGGCAGGGTTGAGGGGGGCTTACGCCTGTAATCCCAGCACTTTGGGAGGCCAAGCCGGTGGATCACCTGAGGTCAGGAGTTCAAGACAAGTCTGGCCAACATGGTAAAACCCTGTCTCTACTGAAAATACAAAAATGAGCTGGGCATGGGTGGCAGACGCCTATAATCCCAACTACTCAGGAGGCTGAGGCAGGAGAATCGCTTGGACCCAGGAGGTGGATTTGGTTGCAGTAAGCCGAGATCGTGCTATTGTACTGCAGCCTTGGTGACGAGAGCAAACTCCATCTGAAAAAATAGTAATCTTTCTCAAATGTATGTGTAGCTCACATTTTATTTCACTGTTTAATGTTCTAAGTTTTTAGGGTCATTATTTAGAAATTTGGTGATGTTTTTGTGACCAGATAAATGCCATAGGGACTTAAATCTTGTTTATATCTTAGCCTCTGGTAAAACTGGTTTTGTTTTATGTTGTTTTGCTTAACATCATAGTTTCCAGGAATCTATAAATGGTGAGGACTTAACTGTCTTTTAAAATCTGAAAAAGTCCTGAATCGGAAATGTTTCTGGTTCCATGTATTTCAGATAAACCTATAAAACTAAAGCAAGATGCAGAATTGGTAAGATGAAGCCAACTGTTTCTCTAAAGGTTTCATACAGCCATGTAAGTTGCTAGATTTTTAGATGTGCTTTCATCTTAGTAGTCCGATGTATAGTCACAGGAGACACTACATTTTTGTTAGATTTTTGGCCAACTTCCTTTGCAGTAATTGAAAGGAATTTTTTTTTTAACTTTTCTTTTACATTCAGGGGTACATCTAAAAGATGTGTGGGTTTGTTACACAGATTATTTCATCAACCAGGTATTAAGCCTAGTATCCATTAGTTACTTTTCCTGATCCTCTCCCTCCTCCCATCCTCACCCTCTGGTAGGCCCCAGTGTGCATTGTTCCCCTCTAGGTGACTACATGCATGTTCATTGTTTAGCTTCCATTTATAAGTTAGAACATGTGGTATTTGCTTTTCTGTTCCTGCATTAGTTTGCTAAGGATAATGGCCTCCAGCTTTGTCAGTGTTCCCACAAAGGACATGATCTCATTCCTTTTTTGTGGCTGCATAGTATTCCATGGTGTATATATGCCACATTTTCTTTATCCTATCAACCATTAATTGGCAATTAGGTTGATTCCACATCTTTACTAGTGTCTTTATAATAGAATCAATAATACTCCTTTGGGTATATACCCAGTAATGGGATTACTGGGTCAAATGGTATTTCTGTCTCTAGGTCTTTGAAGAATCATCACCACACTCTCTTCTATAATGGTTGAACTAATTTATACTCCCACCAACAGTGTAAAAGCGTTCCTTTTTCTTTACAACCTTGCCAGCATCTATTATTTTTTTACTTTTTACTAATGGCCATTCTGACTGGTATGAGATGGTATCTCATTGTGGTTTTGATTTGCATTTCTCTAATGGTCAGTGATGTTGAGCTCTTTTTTCATATGATTCTTGGCCACTTGTATGTCTTCTTTTGAGAAATGTCTGTTCGTGTCCTTTGCCCATGTTTTAATGGGGTCGTTTTCTTGTGAATTTAAGTTCCTTATAGATGCTGAATATTAGACCTTTGTCAGATGCATACGTTACAGAATTTTTCTCCCAGGTTGTCTGTTTACTCAATAGTTCTTTTGTTTTTAGGGGTGTTTTTTGCTTTCATTTTGTTTGCTGTGCAGAGCTCTTTAGTTTAATTAGATACCATTTGTCAATTTCTGCTTTTGTTGCAGTTGCTTTTGGCATCTTTATTATGAAATTTTTGCCATGGCTATATACTGAATGGTATTGTCTAGGTTTTCTTCTAGGGCTTTTGTAGTTTTGGGTTTTACATTTCAGTCTTTAATACATCTTGAGTTGATTTTTGTATATGGTTTACAGAAGGGGTCCAGTTTCAGTTTTCTGCATATGGCTGGCTGGTTCTCCCAGCACCATTTATTAAACAGAGAATCCTTTCCCCATTGCTTGTTTTTGTCAAGTTTGTCAAAGATCAGATGATTGTGTGCAAATCTTACTTCTGGGTTCTCTGTTCATTTCCATCAGTCTGTGTGTGAAAAGAATCTTTTGTCTTCTGTAGTTTGTTTCTTACCGTCTCAGGGTATTAATCCTTTGGATTTAAATTTGAGGCTTCCATCCTTTTTTTTTTTAATTTTTTATTGCATTTTAGGTGGCTTCCATCCTTATATACATTAACAGGATTTATATACATTAATAGGATTTGAAAACGAAGAGTTCATTTTGACTAATCAAGAACAGAGCTTTTCTTGTGATAGCAGACTGATTGATACTTACTTTTGTGGTATTACACAGCTAGTTGATGGGCAGTTGATATTTTTATTTTTGTATTTTACTGTGTTTCAACATAGAAGTACCTCTGAATAAGAATGACAAGTGGGCATATCTCTTTCTCCGTTAATTAGGCTAAGCATTGCTTCCTTCCTTGAGTCTTATATAGAAGACTGATTTATTCATTCAGTTGTGATACATGCCTCTCACCCTGCCCCCAACATCCCTCCAGTGTTAGTGGACAAAGGATGGGCCACCATAGAAGAGGGTGTTTTTATAAATGCCCAAGGACCCTCTAAAACTTTATCAGAAGAATTACCCTTTATTCTAACTTTTCTGCTCACAAGTAGTTCTACTCTGTGAAGGGTAAAGCAGGAATAATGTGTTGAATGAATACTTTTATATTTGGCCATACTGTGGC